AAGCTCTTTCTGTTCAATTCAATTTCATTTATATAGTGTCAAATCAAACAGTTGCTTCACTTTTTAAGGCAAAGACCTTACAATAGTATATAATGTAACGTATCTTTGAGGAATAGTTTTCCAGGCTTCCTTAAGGATATCCAAACTCACGTTTGGCTGTTAGCTTCCATTAGGTCGGGTGGGGAGCTAATGGCCTCGAGGGCCGGTGTCCTGGAGGTTTTAGATCTCACCCTGGGTCAACACACCTGAATCAAATGATCAGTTAATTACCAGGCTTATGTAGAACTTCAATACATGTTGAAGAGGTAATTTAGTCATTTAAATCAGCTGTGTTGGATCAAGGACACATCTAAAACCTGCAGGATACCGGCCCTCGAGGCCTGGAGTAGGACACCTGTGCTTTAGGTGATCCCACACTGCTTCAATAATGTTGAAGTCCGGGGAGGCCAATCCACGACTGATAGTGAAACACTGTCTTTCTGTCCAAGTATCCTTTTACTGTATGACAGTGTGGCTTTAGTACTTTTCTGCGTTCACAATTCAATCAGTTTTGACAAGATCAACAGCCACATTAGCAGAAATGCTGCTCCAAACTGTGACAGTGTCATGTGAAGTGATGTGGCAGGCAGGTTTCGAACAGAAGTTCAAAAGAAACAAACCTTTATTCTGGCTGAACTAAACTAGTCAACTGTGATCCAGACAAAATTAAAACCAGGGGATACACTTACTGGAGGAAACAGGAACAAGAAGCAGGGAAACACACAGCAAAGTAGAATGAGGGACAGCATGAAAGACTACCAAAATAAGACAGAACACAAAATAAAATAACAGAACACGGGAACAGAAATGCAGATTTGACACAAAGACAGAAAGGGAAACACACAGAGACAAGACAGACTTCATACAGTGATGCTAGGAAGGAAACACAGAGACAAGTCTAGGACAGACTGAACACAAAAAGGTGACACAAACCAAGGAACAGAACAAAACTCAGAAGTGCTCAAAGGATGAAGCAATATAGAACTAGACCCTAAATGACTTCATAAACCCAAAGATTAACCAAAAAAACTCAAAACACTGGGTCATTGAACCAGGAACCATAAGAAACAAAAACTCCACCATGTTTCACAGATGGTTCAACCCAGACGATTACCAACAGGGAGAAATAATATATTTACAGCCAAGAAGTCGGTAGTGAGCAAAAAAACCCTATAAAATATATTCAAGGGTCCTTAATCATCAGAAACGTTTAAGCAAGGCAACTAATGTGTAATGATGGCTGTTTAAACACGTTCCCAAGATTATTTTAATTTTGTTTAAAATAAAATATTTTGCTGTTACTGCTGCTTACTGCAACTTCTGCATGTGCGCCCTTTTCATGCTTCGGTGTCTATTACACATTTTGCCGTGATATTGGGTTGGATAGTTCTAGACATTCACTGTTCTATCTCTCTCTGAACTCGTCCATGCATACTGATGGTCATTTGAACCAAAATCAAAGTTGGAGTAATCACTCCCTAAGACCAGTTTCCACTGATTTTATGGATATGACTTTCAGATAGTGTTCTTCTGCTGCAGATAGTTGTTTAGAGTTTTTCCACCACTTGTTCACTTACCTAATTTTTTTAGGACACATCACCATACAGCATCAGCATTTTTTTTATGCTTGAGCGATTCATAGTAGGTCAGTGTTAAGTGACTTAACAAATAAAAAAAGAATAAAGAAATTTCCCTGAAATTGTGAGACTGGGCTGGAAATGAGTGAATACACAGCCAATGTCCAAAAAAATACTGGGAGAGACCTTGAGAAAGCCTGGAGAACTATTGCTCAAGAGCAAATAGTTCTCCAGGCTTTCTGTTTGCAAAAGAGTGTTTTTAAGAAAGTCTGCCTCCTAGGGCCAGTGGTGACTCAGAGCTGGCCATCTACCAATCTGAATGCTGGTAGATCACTTCCTGGCTCCTCCAGTCCACGTGTATTCTTGGGCAAGATGCTGAACAACCAGTTGCTCTTGATGCATTCATCAGTGTGTGTGTGTGTGTGTGTTTACATGTGAATGTTAGATTAAAAAAACTGCTTAGGCATAGATGTGAACACTGTATGACTGTGTGTGTGACTGAGTGAATGAGAATTGTAGAAAAAAGCCCCGAGTGGTGGCTCAAGATTTTTGCACAGTACTGTGCGTGTATATATGGTTTGCCAGAAAATTCAAAGCACACTTGTTATTATGGTACTCTGTACTCTATTAATTCATGTATTATTTAAATAGATCATTACTGAGCAGAACTGTCTTTGGAAATGTGAACCAATCAATACAACAACTGTGAAAATGTATTATAACACTTGTGGTTTCATAAAGTCAATGATAGCTATGCTCTAAGTATCACTTTTTCTTATGAATGATGAACCGTGTGAAGACAAGTCTCTCTCTTCTTTCTCAGGCCTTGTGGTTCACACTAACATCAGCCCAAGGACAGTATGTCACTGCAGGGAAAGGTCACTGCTCTAATAGAAATACACATTCTTATCTGAAGTCTCCTTTCACTTAATATTTAATCTTTTCATTGGAGCCAATATGATAAGAACAGGGCCACAGAGCAAACTATTATGAATCATTATATTGAACAGTTTATTGATTTATAAAAGCTTTCTGTTTAACATCATGTCATATAAAATTGCGCACACAACATCCACTGTAGGGATTATACACATGTCATATCAGAAAGAAGCGAGTGAAGTTACTCTGTTGACAGCTTTCAAGCATAAACCCTTGCAGACACAGCACAGTCCTTATTTGCGCTGCCTGGTCTTTTTCAGAACTTCACAAGTCTTTTAATATCAAAGAAACTCACAGACTGAGAAGAAAGAAGAGAGAAGAAATGCTGTGTGAATGGTGACAACTGTCAACTGTTATCTTAAAGCCACTCACGGCATTATTCTGAAAAATTAACGAGAACTCTGACGGCGCTGATAAGCCGCAGCAAGGTACCCATAAGAAGCTGAGATATCCACCGATTCGAGTGCTGATTGTTGTGGAAAAAATTACATGTCAGAGGATGACAAATGATCCAGAGGACTGAACAGACAGAAAAGAACTTGTTTATGATCTTTTAATAGTACAAGTGCATCCTTAGTTAACATGACTTTATATAAGGAAGAAACATAGGTGTAAGACCTATTAGTCCAGTTCTTTTAAAAATGCATTTACTGGTGCTTTTGGCCACTTGAGAGTAGCAGAAATAAAATGTAAACACAAAACTGAAAACAGATACTTTTTTTACACATCCAAAGATCAATTTCACCATATAATTTAATGTTCCTGAACACCTGATGCAATATTCCCTGTCCTTAGCTCTGGTATGGTCTTCAGTGACTCCTGAGGAATTATTTTTAGACTACCAGCCCTGAAATAATGGTGTGTTTTTGAAAGACGTGAGACTGAACCTAACCAGGAAGGTTGGCTTCCGGAAAACTGAAACAAAAAGCAAAAGACTCAAAAATGACCTGCCAGTGTACCATTTTCACATATCGCTCAGCAGATACAGTACTGTGTTTGACCCACTGCTGTACTCTGATATGTGTAACTGATTAAATGAGTGGCCTGGGATTCAGCATATTTCTCAATTACAATCACTCTGTGAAACAACCCTTTATTCGAGTAAAAGAACTACATTTACGTAAAAAAAACCAGAGTTGACCAAAGTTTACAACCAAAATGTTTTTGACATCCTACACATCCAGTCGAAACCAAAACACACTGAGAAAGATCGAATCAAAGGTTTAAAGTCACTGCTGCTTGTTTCTGTATTACTTCACAACTAAAAAACTGAGCAAAAATACATAAGCAATGTATGGAAAACTAAGTACACCCAGCTTATTAAATCACCTAGAGCAGTAAGTTCAAGTGCTACATCTTCTGTTGAATTCATCAGTCTCTCACATCATTGTGAGGCGTGACTGCAGCATTTCAATCAGACTGAGGTCTGACGTCTCTTTTCTTTTTCAACCATTCTGATGGAGATCTTCTGGTTTACTTGCATGCTTATTCTGTATAATAGCCCAATTTTCAGACTAACTTTAGCTTTCAGCCTCACACGTTTGGCTCTAGAACACTTTGACTTACAGAGAAGTTCCTTGTTTTTTTTACTTCAAGGTGCCCGGGTCCTCTGGCTACAAAACATGCTGTTATGCACTGCTAATATGCTGTGGTCAGTTTTCACCAAACATGGTGCTGTGCATTATGGAGAAACATCTCCATACAGACCTCATCTGTGTCCTATACACTGTTACAGAGCTTTAACATCTTACATGCCTGCAGATTCTGAGGTGTAGCTCTTGGTTTTGGGGGGTTTCTCTTTCTTTTTAAATTTTATTTATTTATTTATTTGTGTGTGTGTGGGGGGGGGGGGGATCTTTTGAATCTTTTCCTCATGTGAATAATCTTTGTTGGTGCAAACTGATGACAAACCTTTCCCATATTGATCGGCAACAATTGCTTCTCTGAGATTATTGCCTTTCCTCCTTGGCATTGTGTCACACCTGAATGCCCCACATCTGCACACTGCCAAACCTTCTGCTTTCATAGAGGTACTCACACATGGTGATGATCACTTCCTCAAGTGCATTTTATTAGCAGCACTTACTGCCTCCAGTGGAATTTAGAGTCTAAGGAGCAGCTAAGGGTGTGCTTAATTATATTTCATTTTCAAGGCACTGCTTCTGCATTTTTGCTTTATTTTTCTTAAATAAATAAGAAGCGGGTGCAATATGTTTGGGTTGTTGCTCACCTCAGGTTGTATTTTCTTAGGATTAGATGATGATTTATTATGTCCTGTTATGTAAAACCCTATAAATGTACTTTCTTTTTTACCATGACTGAATTTTGATGTTTTTACTGATGTGCACTGCATGGATGTTCTATGACTGATGATGGCATTCTTTATGATTGTTTCCTCTTTTTTATAAAAAAAAAAACAAAACAAAAAAACATAACCACATTCAATTTAAGTTTTAAAAAAAAATCATATTTACTGCTGAAAATGCTTTTTACTTTATAACCATATATCATAGAGCACATAGACACTGTGCTCAGTAATAACATTCGGACTAGGAATTATACATTTTATTAAAAAACATAAAATCATGACACAAACATGTATATTTCACTATTCAGTGCTAATCAGAGCTGTAAACCCAGGTTGTAAATTGCATTAACTAAAAAAAGACACATCTTTAAACATTTATTCATCCACTTTTCCCTTAAATGTATGTATTTACAACCCACCCAGCCTCTACTTTGTAGGCATTTCACATGGGTGGAGTGCTTTACTGTTTCTGTTGATCCTGTCTTTTCAGTCAATCAAACAGCTTCACTGTCTGCTCCTGCCTGTCAGATGTTTAAGACAGTGATAGAAATGCCTTAACCTTACAGAAGAGATTGTCACCAGTTTAGGAGAATGTCAGTGTCTTATCCCACCTCTTAGTCTTTTCCAGAGACAAAAGAAAGTTAGTTTACATTCTCACACAGTCTTTAAGTCAGTGGCATTTACCATACTTACATTACTAAGCTAATGCGAAAAAAGTTCATCTTACAGCGTAGTACATACTCACCATCTTCAGGTTGTCATTTCTGGGTCAGTTAAAAGTGGAGCCCACACCAGTTCAGATAATGAATAAGGCCATGGCTGCTACTCTGGTGTTGAGATGTGATAATGTTGTTATTAATGTAAAAAGGGAAACCCCACTCTTACTACCAGATAAAAGAGGCTGGCAGGAAGAGATCCACTCAAGGAGGAGCTTTAAGTGCATCTTGAGTTTTTCCCAGGTGACTTGCTGTCTTCCTTCTTCAAGTCTCTTGCATGCAACACCTAAAAGCTCTTGTTGGTCCATCTGCTACTTTTTTAATCCCTCTTCGTCGCTCCTTCTGCTATAGATTGATACTGCTGAATGACGGGGGGGAGGGGGGGGGGGTTGAGCTCCTGCATAAAGGAGTTAAGGGGTTATAAAAAACCTTTCCATGATAACACACTACACATTGTTGCCCAGTGAAGACCCTGAAGAAGATATGCTCATTCACAGCTGTGCTGCTTTTAGTCCCATATTTACATTATTACATTCATATATTTTTAGCCACTGTCACTTTAAACTTACACACAGTTATGGAGTAGTAAGAGTTGCCGCCTCCATTGAATATATAAACGTTTAAGAAAGTTGTAATATCTGATTATCTCATACTGACCAACCACAATAACTTATATTGCACATCTTGTAATGTTTCCACCAACTGTTCCACCAAATTGAATAAAACAGTTAAAGCTCAGTGTTCTCAGTTTGTTACTAAGATAAACCAACAGTCACTGTCAGAAAAAGACTTCCATTATTTCACGATTATATGCAACCTTTCTTTCCCTCTCTCTGATCAAACTTTCAGCATATACACTCCTCCTGAGTGAAGACAATTGCTCATCCAGTGATTTAACTGGCTCCCTTCCGCTAAGCATTGTAGCCCTGTGTAACAATGCATGTTACACATTAGACAAGGAGAGAGCATATGCTTTGCCCACTGATCATTACTTCTCCAGGCATCAGCTCTATCCTTTGCTTAGGCTGCATTCTGCCCCAGTAAGGATGATTGTCCTTTATGTTTTTGAGGTGATTCGGCCTTCTGGTTTTGCTCAGACAGAGGCTGGGGTTTAGGGATTTCTGTCTGTGGAGAAAGAGGCGGTGTTGCCTGCTGTAGGTCTAACGTTGGCATCTCTTTCCTGTCACTGGCCTGGGTCTCCAGAGCCGATGTGTCCTTGCAGCAGAAGTACTGCTGCCAGATTTTCCGGAAGGCTGAGCGAAACTTCTTAATGCGGAAAGCGTAGACAATTGGGTTGACCGCAGAGTTGCCGTGGGTGAGCAGGATGGCAATGTAGAGGACGACTTTGGGCTTGTTACGCTCAGGACAAAAGAGTGTGATGCAGTTGATGATGTGGAGGGGGAGCCAACTCACAGCAAAGAGAAAGAGGACAAGAGCAAGGGATTTAGCAAGATTCAGCTCTTTGTCATAGTACCTGTTGGGGTCTGCGTGACTGGTGTTCAGTTTCTTATTGTTAAGCTGCTTGTGGATCATGTAGAAGATTTCTGCGTAGATGAACAGCATGAGCAGCAGAGGTGGGAGCACCCAGCCGAAAAAGTTAAAATAGACCATGTAGTCCATGCTGATGACATTTTCAAACTTGCACGTGGTAATGAGGTCGGAGCTGATGGAGCCGTTCTCCTGGCAGCGCTTCAGGTTGTTCCAGCCTAACATGGGTGTGAGTCCCACAATAAACGCTACCGTCCAACATATCACGACTGCCAGTGCCGCTCGCCGAGGGGTCACCACCCGCTTATACCTACAGGAGTAAACAGCAGAGCGACACGTCAGCACTTTCCCACATAGCATTGTCAGGGCATGCATGTTTTCATTCTTTGTACTTCATTTTTCATATTGTCAGTGTCCTTGGGCTGACAGAAGATGTGATTCACATCTTCACAGCCACAACCCCCAAGACACTTTGTGAAAAGGTCCTTGCAGCACATATTACCTTTTAAAATATGTTTCTGAAATTCTTATCTTTGATACTTGACCTTTGCAAGACTGTTACTTTTTAATGACTTTCTTAAAACCAGAAATCGGTTTTTTTTTAAAGAAAAGAAAGAAAGAAAGCTGCTATTACATACTGGATATTAAAGGTGTTGCAGGCTAGGCTTTCTCATTATTTAAGAAGCTTTATGAAGAAGTAGCCAGAGTCAGAGGGAGGTTAAAAAAAAGGCAGAGGCTTAAAGATCTTATCACTGCTGTCTTGACTTGTAAGTAAAGAATTTCAGGGACCACAACCTGATACTTGCCCCGAGGCAGGGATGAAAGTAGTTATCTGATACAGCTCATCATGGTAAGCCAGTGATTAGTCATTTTCAGATTACTAATGGTTAATGTTTAATGTAGGATGTTTTGGCTGTAAAGAAAACACCCATATTACCACAGGCTGACCTTTGCTAAAGGGTAGCGTGAGGCAAAACAAGATTCTTCAATTTAGCCCAAATGTAGCAGGTGCCATGTGTAGGATGAGTATTGATTAGGGACCCAGACCTTAAGTGAGGTCTGTGTCAGAAGTGCAGAAAAAAATAAATAAATAAAATAATCGAAAAACTGAGCCTGAAAGAGATCGGAAAAGATCAGGTTCTGATCTAAAAACAGGGAGCGTGGTAGAGCATGCAGCATATTATGTAATTTATGAAAATGTTACAATGCTGTATTTGCATATTGTTAAATATAGTCTCTGCAATGTGTGTTGGAAACAAGTGACAATTCCTGAGAAACTTTCTACATGCATAACCCGAGCAAGGACGCCCAGATGCTGCTGTGACAGACAAACTTTACATGGAAAAGTCAAGAGTTAAAACTGATGACAGAATATTACTGTAAGCCTGGAAGACTTCATGGGATTTAACAGGGGACAAGGGTCTGAGGCTTTCATAGGCAATATTCTCAAATAAGTAATTTCTCTTTCCTTCTCGGCTTGTCCTTTTAGCTCTTCAACACCACTGCTTGTGCTTTTACTTTACCCCAGCATGACATGATGTGTCCACCACATACAAAGCGGGAGAAGCAAAGCTGACCACTTCTGTGTCGCTGTGCACCTCTTCAGCACATTAGAGATCCTGATGACAGAAAGACTAATTAAAGTAGTTAGTAGATTGGCCTTGCTCTGTTAAGCTGTCATGGGGAGGCGGATATATATGCATATAAAGAAACTGGCAGACTGGCAGCTTCCTGTATAGTGAAACGAGACCCATACAGAAATCAATGAAACAGCACTGGAACTGTGCTGACTTCTGCTATCATTTCTGGTGAGTACCTCCAACAAATCTATGCTATTTTCATTCGTATCACTTCCCCACATTACACAAATAACGCATGACTCAATCCCGTCCTTAATTTTATCCTTTAGGTTGCAAAAAGGTCGTTACCTGGTCGGGATTTTGACCCTGAGATAGCGGTCAATTGCAATAGCCAAGAGGGCCAGGATCGAACTTTGCGTCAGGACCAGCACCGTGCACGCCACAAGCAGGCAGCTGTAAAAGTGAGTTTGGAGTCCGATGTTGATAGTAATGGCCAAAGGGATGACGAGTGCTCCCACTGCAATATCCGCCAGAGCCAGGGAGACAATAAAACAAAACGTGGTATCTCGCAACGATTTATTAATCTTCACCGCCCAGACCACCATCACATTCCCGATTACAGACGCCACAGCAATTACCACCTCCATTCCGATGTAGACTGAGTCCACTGAGAAGAGTGCCCCGGCCATCCTTGCAGATAATTTTGTCCTTAATAAGAGTGAGCTGCAAAATAAAAACAAAAAAAGCCAACAGAACAATCCTTGACTTTTTCTTCCTGTCAGTACAGAATTTTCCAAATGCGTCCCGCTGTGTCACGGCACTCTCATCCTCCTGGTTAGCAGACGAGATTTAAGTTGAGAGAAAATCTAGTTATTCTGACGATGATACGCAGGTTAAGAGCCACAGTGTCTTAGAATGGGGTGTTTTCCTTTGGAGCAGGTGATTACGGTCCAGAGGCGGCTGTGCGTCGCTGCTGTTCTGCGTCCTGCGCCTTCACTTGGCGGAATACACCTGCTTCTTCGGAGAGGAGCGTTCTTGCCATGCTTTGCGATTTATCCGGGAGGGCGCCTCGTGTTCATCACCCAGCTTTTGTCACTTTAATCTAGCAGTTTAAAAAAACATAACACACATCCAATGAGAAACTACCTGCTACAGAAAGCCTCGCACGGCTGCAGCTCCGGCGTAATTTCCGTTCACCTCTGCCTTTCTTTCTCTCTCGCTCGTGAACACAGAAATGCTCTTACTGAAAATAGCCGTGCGGGGTTTCTCGCCTTTCGTGTGGCATTGAGAGTTGCTTTCTTGGTTTTATTAGTCGTTTTCCCCTCGGTTCGTGCAACTCCTTCGTTTTCCACGGAGAAATGAAATGGTGCTAGTCTTCTGCAGGACCGTCCGAAAGAAGTAGAGCGAAGGGTGATGTGAACTCTCTGTAACGCCATGTATGCATTTCTCCCACGCCCTTTGGAAAACTAATAGACCTTGGTCACTCGCCCATTGTTCTGATAAGGCGTGAAGGAGTGAAACTGCCATGTAACAAACGCCGTTGGAACTGCAGTATTACTGGAGGGAGGCACACAGTAGTAAGCCACTTATTTGGTTTTACTCCTCCAGCCACATACTAAGAACACATCAGATAGAAATGTATCTGTAATAAAAAGAAATATTCAGGTCATTCTAAATAGATCTTTATGCTGTAGACTTCAAAGGCCTGCAATCTCAGCTTGAAGCAAGCCCATCTGAAAAACTAATGGGATTTAAAATTGGAAACCTTGTGACTGATTTAGATCTATTGATCATCCTTTTTAAAAAAAAAAAAAAAAAAAAACCTTTACAGCTTTGTAAGTGGTTTCTGAAAACGGATATATCCTCCTTCAGAATCTGAAGCAGGAACAGGATCCCCATGGCACAATAACCTGCCCTGTTTCTTCCAGTGACATAAAGAACTTCAAGAAGCCAAGTGCTGCATAAAATTACAAGCATCCTGTGTTACCTTTCCAAGGTTCAAAGGTCAGCACCAGGTAGCAGTGTGAGTACTGACCACAACAGCCACACATGACTGTGTAGATTGGATATGCAGGTGTCACAGATGGAGAACTGCAAACACTTTGTTTCAGCTGACATTCACGGTGAAAACAAAAGGCAAAGTGTGTGTGTGTGTGTGTGGGGGGGGGGTGTTACTACTCTCCGGGATCCACACTGAGAGACAGAGATGACAGGGGGACCAACAGTCAGCAGGATTTCACTGGAGACAATTCCACTCTGTGAGAAGCAGCATGGTGAAAACTGTCAGCATGATGTACAGAGGTCAGCCAATAAGCAAGGAAGGAAGCAGCCATATGGCCCAGTTGCAGCGATTGGCTTGCGACTCACTAGGGACATTTTTTAATGAGCATATGTGTGGTGGCAGTGTTGAGCAAATCAATCATTATAGAGCAAATGGCATGAACTAATTCGCTTGGGTGGAAATGGCTGACATTCAAGATTCTGAATGTTTACACTTTGAAATAAGTCTCATTATCAAGGTCATATCCTCACAGTACTATTGTCTTCAGCTACTTATCAATAAATAGTGTTATGGCTTTGACGAACCCTGGTAAGCAGGAGCAAAGCAAGTTCAAGAGACACCCTCATTTCAGATTTTTTCTCCCACACTTAACATGACATACATAGATGTTAAATGCTGTCTGATCATGTTCACTGACGCCATCTTCACCGAAATGACGTGCTGAAAGGCTTCAACTTTTTATGGCATCTCCCACTATCTAGCCCTTTATTGAATTACTTTTAGCAACCCGGAAATACTAACAGTTCATTATAAAATATTAACTCAGATTGAATTTGGTGAAAGAAACACATCACCAGAAACTTGGGAAAGGCTGGAAAAGTAAGTGGTACTAAAAAGAGACAGCTGGAGGAACATTTTGCATCTAATTGGGTTCATTGGCATCAGCTCAGATACATGACTGAGTATGAAAAGAGCATCTTAGAGAGGCAGAGCTTCTCAGAAGTAAAGGCGAGCAGAGGTTAACCAATCTACAAAAAAATTAATTAATTCTGCAAATTGTGACCGAAGACCGAAAATCAGTATTGGATGCATGTGATCTTCAGGCCCTCAGGCGGCACTGCATTAAAAAGGCTTGATTCTGTCATGGAAATCAATGGTTGGGAACACTTTCAGAAATCATTGTCTATGAAAACAGTCCACTGTGCCATCCACAAATGCAGATTACAGCTCTGTCATGCAAAGAAGAAGCCATGATCCAGAAATGCCACTATCGTCTCTGGGCCAAAACACATTTAAAAAGGACTGACGCAAAGTGGAAGACTTGAAATTAGTAATAAAAATGTTGTGTTACAGTGCAGACAACAAGATAGGGAGCCTGGGCTACTGCTGATCAGAAGACTTTCACTGAAAACAATATATGCGAGAACTGAACAGTCACATGTATCTCATTATTTTTCCCTGAAAAAATCTGCTCCATAGATGCTCTTAGTTTCCATGCAAACATATCAGCTTGATTGTTCTTTAAAATGAATATAAATATGATATAATTAAAGTTATTACCACAAACTATTGTGCACCAGAGAATGAAGTGTTCCACTGCATTTATTACTTCCTTAATAATAATAATAATAATGATAATAATAATAATAATAATAATAATAATAATAATAATGGATTGGATTTATATAGCGCTTTTCAAGGCACCCAAAGCGCTTTACAATGCCACTATTCAGTCACTCTCACATTCACACACTGGTGGAGGCAAGCTACGGTTGTAGCCACAGCTGCCCTGAGGCAGACTGACAGAAGCGAGGCTGCCATATCGCGCCATGGCCCCTCTGGCCTAATAATATACTTTATAGCATTAAAACAATGATTTAGTGGGAATAAATACTGCACATCTGATTGTAGAGGAAATAGATTTTGCTGTTATTAAATTGTACATTATCATGTGATTTTTGGTTATGTGTTACAAAAATAGAGTTAAGCTGGCTTTAAGTCCTGACCACTGTCTACAGCAGCCTCACTGTGGCTCAGCCCCTGTAGATAATCATATACTGTGAATTGAAGTGCTTTAATATGTTTTGATTTCCTTTTTACACTCAAGAAAAACAACTTTATGGGCACTATAATTTGGTGTAAGAGCTCCTCTCAGAGCTGCCAGCTGGGTGCTCCACACCATTCAGCCTACTCCACGCAGCTCACCTGCTTCTGACCCAGAATGTGTCCAGGAAATTTACCACCACTCACACTCGAAGAATGAGCTGACAAGGTGAAAATGAAAAATCTCAGCAGCTCACATGGCAGTTTGCTGTGCAATATCAAACTGAAGCCCTCCTTCGATGAAACATGGAATGTTTTGATGAAAAATAATAGCTACAAAAATGCATGTTAATTCTATATTTATTGTTTATTTAAATTGTAGTTTTTGGCAGAAAGACATACATTTTAAAAACATTAGATAACCCTCAAAAATACTGTAAAGGCAATGTATACAGCTGCACGTCACTCAAACAGCCAAACTAACTGAATCACTCCCAAGGACATGGCCTCAGTGTCATCACTCGTAGCGATCACTCAACAGCACACAATGTATTATAAATAAGCTGGCATTTTGCAATCCAAAGTAGTTTGGTGTGTAAACCAATAAAGGTCTATTTAAATGTTAGAGTGTGGGTGTAGAGTCATTGGTGTAGTTTCCCTAGTGATGGCCTGCAAAATGTAAGCTTCCTTCATTTATGTTTAATTTTCTACTTAAAACCCATATTAATGTTTCTTAACTACTGCAAATATCTATATTACATGACGGGAAACTGCTATGTGGAAGCTGCTGTCACATGCTGACCTTTTTTTCATTTTATTAATAGCACAGCAAGAACAAGGCAAGAACACATTTCATCAAATTTCATTGTCTTTCATTCACACCAGCAGAATAGAACAATACGTTTTACGGAGATTGTGCGCTGTAACTTTTTAATGGCAAAATATTGAAGAGTCTGCTTTATAATGACATCATTTGCAGCTGCCTCCGCTGTGTTAATTGGTCCATTGTGTACCATTCCTCCTGACAGAACTACTTGCCTCAGCTATAATGTTGGGGTGTCTGCTCTAAATGTGTCTCTTGAGGTCAGGCGGCAGGATTGGGCTGAACTCAGAGGTCCGACCGGGCCACTGCAAAAGTTTATTTTATTATTTTGATTTTTAGTGTTATTGTCCTGCTCTATCACTCAACTTCCACTAAGCTTCAGGCTGTTGCAAGAGCCACACCTGCATTATCGCGTGAGATGTCTTAATAAAAGTGGGAATTTCACCCTCCATTCCATCATGGCAAGTCCCCATCAAGGCCCCCGAAATATGATGGTGCTGTTTCTACTCTGGGATCATGTTTTCATAATTGTGTTGGTTTACAGTTGTTAATAAACAGTTGCTGCGTGTCAAGGCATGCAAATGTAAGTAAGATGATCATGTGTTTAGAGAGGAGCGGCTTGATAATGTATGCCCTGTGATGGATAGCATGTTCTGTGTAAGCGAGGGCAATGATTTGGGTATGATTTGGGTATTTATGCATATGTAGTCATAAACAAAGATGGTAAGAGCCACAGTGGTACTACATATTTTCCATAATCATCATTTGTAGCTCCAAATCCTACTATGTTTTCCAACAGCCTCCACTGTGTTTGTTTGAATTAGCTGGTCATTATGGATGAGAACAGCAATTTGTGTGATATTATTTTAAATGGAAAGAAAAAAGATGGAACCGTTTTGTTTGACTAGTTTACACAAACCTGGTGTCACTTCCACAGTCTCACATGCAGATGTTTGCCCTGGGCCTTTCGGCACACTCTGGGTGCTCAGTGAGTCACAGTCACAGTGAGTGAAAACCAGTAAGTGCAAAATGAATCTTGAAAAGGGCACACAAACCATGGTCTCCTGCTTAATTATCTTGTAATTACAGCACTTTATCTTATATATTACAGGACCCGCAACCCACCGTACATCTGTTATTGGGCCACACGATCTGTAATTTAAGTACTTCCCTTTTAAGTGCTTCTCTGTGTAAGCAGTCAAGTTGGCCTCTCCTCTTTTGCATTAAGTTCTTTATGCAAATCAGAAGCGCTCAACATGACTCACCTCACCTAAAAACTCCCAAAAAGCCTTTTAAACTAACCACTGACAACCGCACGCAAGGGGAGCTTCAGCCACTGCAAGAGTTACCTCTCATCACAGTTTTTTGTTGGTTTTTTTTTTCAAAACCAGATTTGGCTGAACTGTGGGAGCAGGAGGGCACCAGTCAGTCATCCACTGGTACACTCTACAAACATCCCTTCACATATCATTGACTTTATCATTAATTCAAACAGTTTGTTTTCTCTGGTAATCCAATATCTCCTCAACCATCCAGAGACTGACGTC